TTATGCTGACATCTTTGAGCATGAGTTGTCTCTACATGATGTCATCAATAAGTATTTTAAATATACTGATGACATCGCAGGAACAGAAAGCAATGTCGCATATTTAAATAACACTTGTAGAGAGGTTTCAAGGCAGATCAGAAAACGACAGGGCAAACAAAATGAGTTTGAAGTCGGCGAGATCATGATATGCAGAGAGTATAGGAAGACAAAAACCTATAAGTTAAATGTGAATTTTAGGTATGAGATAATTAATATTTCCGATCCTTGGATTACCATTGCTAATATCAAAACACGAGAAGAGATTACATTACATATTGGTATCTTGAGAAGTCATTTTATCTTTGCCTTCTGTTATACTTGTCATTCTGTTCAGGGGTGTTCCATTGATGACGATGTCACCATTTTTGATTGGAACCATCATCTGATAACTCGCGAGTGGCTTTGGACGGGGATCACTCGGGCAAGGGATTTAAACAGAGTAAAATTTTACAAATACAGTAGTGATTTAAATGAAGAGTTTAACGCAAAATGCATTATGAATTATTTTGATAGAAAGGTGTTAGCATACAAGGAACAGGATAGAAAAAATGGCTTTGACATTCCAAAAGAAAATTATGTAGATGCCGAATGGTTGAAGGACAATGTCAACGGAAAGTGTGCAAATTGTGGCTGTGGCTTCGTGTTGTCAATGGATTCTGGTAATATAAATTCTAATCTGACTTGTCAAAGGTTATGTAATGATCTTCCCCATACAAAGGATAATGTCATTGCCTTCTGTGCTTCTTGTAATAGATGCTTCAGTGATAAAATAACATATTGATATTTATTTTATAGTATTATTTATATGAGTGATAAAGACAAGATAATCAGTGAGATCTACTACGATCAGGCTGGGTTTGGTAGCATCGCCACCACTTACAAAGATGCAAAAAAGAAAGATGCATCCATAACAATGCAAGATGTCAAGGAGTGGTTTCAAGAGAACGTGGAACGGAAAAAACAACTGTCTGGATACAATTCGTTTATTGCCCCTGATATCAACTTTGAATATCAATTGGATCTGTTTTTTATATCAAAAAATGATTTAGATAATCAAAAATATAGGATAGGCTTATTGCTTATTGATGTATTTTCCCGCAAAGCCGTGGTGGTGCCTATTGCATCCAAGCAACCTGCTGACATCACGGCTGGGATCATGGAGGCATTAAACAAAATGGGAGGGAAACCCAAATTAATTTATTCGGATGACGAGGGGAGTCTCAATACCCAAGATCTTGTTGATTTTTTCAAGGACGAAGGGATCCAAAACTATAAAACACGAGGGCACCCCCATTTCGCCGAGCGTTTCATTCGCACGTTCAAGGACATGCTTTTCAAGAGGGTTGATGCAGACGAGAAAAAGGGAAAGGTTAATATACAATGGGTTGATTATATCCCCGAGATCATGCTGACATACAACAGTAAAATGGTTCATTCTGCCCACGATATGACTCCAAACGATGCCCACAAAAAGGGAAACCATCTTGAGGTCAAGATGAAGCTTGAGATGAACAGAATCAAAACCCGTAAATATCCCCCTGTTAGGGTTGGTGATGAGGTCAAAATATACCGCAAAAAAGGGATTTCCGAGAAAGAAAGAACGAGCTCATGGAGCAGTGTCAAATACAAGGTTTCAAGGGTTGAAAAAAACTTGGTCAAGATTATTATTCTGTTGAAGGGATGAACCGCCCCTACTTGAGGTCAGAGATTCTGAAGGTTTGAAAAAATAATATCTAAACGGTTCTAATAGCTGATGAATCTATTAGAACTGTTTAGTGGGACAGGGTCGGTCGGTCGCATTCTGTGCTGATGCCTTGCTGGGTTCAAAAGAAAACCCCTAATAATAGGTGGTAAGCCCCCTAATGATAGGTTGCAATTAGCAAACCCCCTAATAATAGGTGGTAAGCCCCCTCATGATAGGTGGCAAGCCCCCTAATGATAGGTGGTAAGCCCCCTAATGATAGGTGGCAAGCCCCCTAATGATAGGTGGCAATTTGCAATCCCCCTAATATTAGGTGGCAAGCCCCCTAATGATAGGTGGCAATTTGCAAATCCCTAATATTTTGATTGAACAAGTCCCAGTCCTGTTGCGAAGGAACAAAATTTAATTACAATAATATGATCAGAGACTTTAATAAAGTTGTTAAATACATCTACGACAATGAATATTGTAGAAGGTGTTTTGCACATAACACTAAATTTGTAGAATGTCCAGAATTTAAATTACCTGAATACAGAGATGATGATGATTAAAACCATAGTATAATTATAACATGTAAACATTTATATGTTATAATTATAGTATAGGTTTCCCGTATAAGCCGTGGTGGTGCTTTCCTACATAGGCCTTTCCCATCCGCATTTTGCCATCCATATTTTACTGGGATTGTTTTCAAGATTTGGGTTAACGGTTTTAATTCTCCCTTTTCCATTGGTTAACCATTTTTCGGGGAGTGATAATTTATGTAGTATGGCGGTGGGAGAGCTTAGAAAATACGCAGTTAGAAGACACTTAAAGACATGATGGTAAATAGTAGTATGGAAAACTTACAGAGATGCAGTAGGTGCAGAAAACAGAAAGAACTAGGAGAGTTCAAGGATGGGAGAAAAGTATGTAATTATTGCCTTTCTACTGCTAAGACTTATCAACAAAATAATCCCGAGAAAATGGCGGAGAAATGTCATAAGTATTATGTCAATCATAGGGACGAGATTTTAGAACAGAAGAGAGAAAAACGACTTTGTGATCTTTGCAAAGTAGAAGTAGCTAAATCAGAATGGACGAAGCATTTAATCACTAGTCGGCACAAACGATATCAAATGATAGAAGCCGGGGAGAAGTTGGAAGCCGATCGTGGCGATTCGTGGTGGTGCGATGTGTGCCAAGTATTTTTAGCAAAGAAAACATCAAAGTGTAGTCATAATGGCTCGAAAAGGCATTGTGAATTAGCAAAGCCACAAGGAGTTGAGGAGTAAATGGGTTGATACATTTGTTTTGCGATGATTGTATCAATGCATTTGGGATATTTATTGGTTTAATGGGTGGGATTTTGCGCAGTATGGCGGGTGGAGTGGGGACAAAATGCGCAGTATGACGGCGGGAGAAGTCACCTCTAACTCCCTCCCCCCCCCCCTCCATATCTTCTGTGTGTCGCTTTCTTTTTCCCATCTGCGTCTATCGTCTCTCTTTTGTGCGCAAAGGCCGCTCCCCCGGCAAACCCGCGGAGAGCGGACATTGAGGTTCTGGCTGTTGTTGTCCGCGCTGTCGTTGCCGCGTGTTGTCCACTGCGACGGGTTACTGTCGGTCCTCCCGGCCCTTCTCCATATCTTCTCTGTCTTGCTTTCTCTTTCCTGTCAGAGGCTATAGTGTCTCTTTAGGGGCATCTCCCTCGGCAAGCCCGCGGAGAGCGGACATTGAACCTACCCTCGCTGCTCCTGCGTTCTGGATGTCTTTGTTCGTGCTGTTGTTGCTGCGCCTTTCCCACTGCTCGCAGCTTGCGGCGTCTGTCTGGCGCTGTGGCCGAGGCAGATAGCTCGGAGAGCGGAGAAGATCTAACCTTCAAAACACCCTCCTTCATTTTACTATGCTCTTGCGGCGTGGCTGGATGCAACGTGTGGCTCTCACGCTTCTTTTCCTGTCTTGTACACCCCGCAGCCAGCCGGTCTCACTTTGGCCTTGGTCCGGTCTCAGCACTCCCTTGCAGCTGCAGCCCGAGCAACTTGCCCATGTCTGACCTTCAATTTCACACAGATGATGCTATTGGTGTCTCATTAGAAGGAATTCTGGCGGCGACTGTCACTCCCGTGTGTGGCACGGCTGAGGCCCGGAGCCACGTCCAGCTCCACCAGCATCCTCAGGTTGCCAACAAACATTTCATTTCTGCGGTTACTTCTTTGATTTCCAAGCACCTGGTTTCTTGCCTTTGCCTTCCTCGGGCAGCCCTTTTTTCTAACCGCTCGGCGGCCATCTTCTGGAGTTCTGCTGCGTTGAGCTCGACGTGGCTCCGTGCCTCAGCCGTGCCAAACGCGGGAGTGACAGTCGCCGCCAGAATTCCTTCTAATGAGACACCAATAGCATCATCTGTGTGAAATTGAAGGTCAGACATGGGCAAGTTGCTCGGGCTGAAGCTGCAAGGGAGTGCTGAGACCGGACCAAGGCCAAAGTGAGACCGGCTGGTTGCGGGGTGTACAAGACAGGAAAAGAAGCGTGAGAGCCACACGTTGCATCCAGCCACGCCGCAAGATTCCTCGCGCAGTGGCAGCATCCCTTGCCCCCCCCCTGCTTCAGCCGGGTGGCCGGCGGAACACGCCAACGGCGGCTAAATATTGGAAGTAGACAGAGGTACCTCATCCCTGATACCAATTTACAAGCGCAACTTGAATTTGGGGGACGCGCTTTCACCGCCAAAGAACACACTTAACAGCGCATTGTCGCTGGATTTCAGATCAAGAACCAAATGGACTCTGCCGAAAAATCAGGAGAACCAACTTAAAACCCCTGGGATTCATCTAATTTCATTCCCCAACTAAGCATACCCAAGCTTGCGAAAACGCCTTCACTACTTGTGCGTCTTCCCGTGTCTGGTTCAGTTTCAACACAAACCATTCTCCAAGCCAAGTCGCCAATGATCAGCCAAGCTGGCGGAAAGGGGACTGGTTGCTTTCAAAAGGGCCGGATGAGAGGGGTGTGGTGCTCCTTGTTTGGGAGAAAAGGTTAACCCACAACCTAAGTGCCCTTGCTTCTTGGGACCAAATGGCCAAGACACAGTTGGGTAGGCCCCCTATTTGTTCCTTTGTGGCAAATACGGGAATTTGGGTAGGCTTTTCATGTCCTCTCCAAACCAAGCAGCAAACTGCCACTAATATTGCCCGTTCCTCTGAGGCAGGGGTTCAAAAATGCCCCTGCCTCGAGCCCCAAACAAGGCTGTGACCCCGAGTGATCTGCTGGGGCGCCCAGCGAAGTGGTCACCGCCCAGGCTCAGCCCTGCCACCTGGCCGAAAAAGCCCCCCTAGGTCGCGGGCACTTGAAGTAGCCTCCCGGAGTTCGGTTGCAATCTATCACTGAATGAAAACAGCAATGGGCTGCCCGTTCTGATCCCCCGCCAAAAAAATGACTTTTAGTGGGTTAAATGGAAACTACCACTAAACACTAAAAGGCTAAAAAGCTGAGGGGATGGCTGGGAGCAACCAAGAGCAAACAAGAAAGCACGAATATGAATGAATAGAACAAATGTGGAAGGACTGCTGCATCATGGAAAGCACCAGAGCGGGTGCGAGGCTCAAGGTGCACCGCGCAGGTGCCTGCCTCTTTGACATGGGCGACACCGGGGCAAGTCCAAATGCCAAGGGCGTTTTTGGGTATGGTTTCTGCAGGAATGAAACTTATGCACCGCGCCACTTAAGTCAGGGGTGCTGCCATTAAAGCTACTATATCGGTGGTGTGTAAGCCTCCATGCCTCCCGAAACCCATTAAACATTGCGCATTTTCTGGTGCAGCCAAACGCCGGCAACTTCCGTTCTCATGTCGAGTGTCTTATCATTTGGCTGTCGCAGAAGCCCAGTGAATTTCCACGGTAAGGGACGACCCAGTTTGGGTAATTGAATTTAGAGGGGTCCCGGTTTCCCCTCAAGAAAAATGAGAAAAATGGCACACCACTTGGTGGGGGCTTGGAAACCCATTCAACAACTTGAAATCGACCGCCTTGGCTTTTGCATCCCTGGACATTTCGGGTTTGTCTCAAGCCAAACCAGGACCTTCACAATGGGTGGGTACTTCTGTTCTTCCATTTCACACAACCCTGCAAAGTGTACCAACTCCAACAAGTAGGCACCAAGCTTAAGCAGAGTCTCACCCTGCCCTCGTCCGAAGCCCGTGCGAATCCCGGCGCACGCCGCCGAACTCGTACATGGAGGCCACGTATGCCCAGACCTTGGGCTTGTTCGGGGGTTTCCCTTTACGCGCTGCGAAAAAAGGCACGTCCGAAGAAAAAAAAGCAAACGAGTCAAAGCTTCAAGTGAGCGCACCTGCAGGCCATTGCGGTAGGGACTCCTCTGTACCTCCTCAAACGCCCCCAAGATCCCCCTGCTGGTCGAAATAGGGGGACCCCCAAAAGTGGGTTCCCTTTGGTTTCCCTGCAAAACCAGCCCAAAAGGAACCCTCTCACCCAAGAATATACACCCATTTGACAATTTGAGGCAGCGACGAAAACTCTGATGTACAAAGCGGTATGAGTTTGCGATCGGTGATGCTTTCGCGACCACATGTTTTGCTTTCGCGGGCACTGCGGCTTGACGGGGCACTTCAGCATACTGAAGCTAAGCGCAAAGGCAGAAAAAGCGACATCACTCACTTCCTGAGTGGACCGTCCGAGAAAAGTAAACAAACTGCTTATTTACCACTAAAATGGTCCAACCCAAAGAAAGGATCCAAGTCCGAAACGGACCTCAAGCATCAGCTTGGAATGGGGCACCCCTTTCCGTAGGATCTTAGGCCTTTAATCTTTAAATGACCATTCGGGCCTTTTCAAATGAGGTATTCTCAGTGATTTTTTTTTTTTTTTTTTTTTAATCGTTCCAGGCTGCATAACATCCACAAAGAGCAGGTTGAGAGCTAAGGAGTTTTCTGGAGTTGGGTTCATCATCAGGGCACTTCTCCATTGAAGCATGCTGAGGCCTCTTTCTTGTGGGAACAAATTGAAAAAACATGTGAAGAAAGGTTGGGAAAAAGTTGGGAACATGTTGGGACAAAGTTGGGAAAAGGTCTGGAAAAAGTGGGGAAAAGGCTGTGAACAAGTTGGGGAAAAGGTTGGGACGGGGAGCCGTTGAGAACCGGGAAAGGCTTGGGACCAGTTGGGAAACGCATGGAAAAGAGTTGGGAAACGGTTGCGAACAAGTTGGGATGAGGATCATAATGCCGGAAAGACTTTTCTGATATGAGTGGAAAAGCAGCTGTTGTGAGGGCCTTGCAGGTCTGGGACTGTGCGTGTTTGTTTTTCCTTTTTTTGGCGGGGGCAGCTCTTTTGTAGGGATTTTCCAGGGTTGCTCAGGATTGTACAGCTTTTCATGGGGATTGCATAGCTTCTTGTGGTTTTCTCTGGCTTGCTGTGCCTAAAGACAGTTTCCCACGAGACCTTTCTTGAAACAGAATGACTGGTACGCCTTTGATGTAAAGCTTCGCGCTTCGCTCGGCCTGTCGCGGCGCCCGGGAGCCTTGGCGCCGGGCCCGGGAGCAGGCAGGGGACGCAAAGTAGTTCCGGAAGGGCAGCTGCGGCGCCTCGAGTCAACGAGAGTTGACTCGTCGTTTGACTCGTCGCTTGACTCAGTGAGAGGAAACAAATCAAGGAGCACCGACCAGCACCTGGGTCCCAACGGCAATTTGTCCCATGTCCAAAATCCCAGGTGTGCACAAACGCAGTGGTTGGGGGGTGCCGGTAGGCAGTAATTCTTGGTGACAAAGTTTCCCACAAACCAAAATTGGTTCAAGAGAAACCAAATTCTGGTCGTTTTAACAGCGCGGTTTACACGTATCTAAACAAGGGGTAACCCAACTACCAGGCAAACCCGTTACCTGACACATCGGTCCTTTGAAAAGGGTCCCCCAGAAACCGAGAACTCAGGCTGCAAAAGCCCACCTTTCTGGTTTGGTCTTGGGCCCCAAAGGCCCCGGTTGCAACTTAAAGCTTAGAAAGTCATAAACAAATGAACAAGTTGGTTGCCTCTGCGCAAGCAAGGTTTTTGATCAGGCCGGTTTTGCGGGAAATCCATGGTTTCACTTTGGGGAATATGGTTGGCCCCATGGTGGAAATGTCGGTACCATATGGATGTGAATTTGGAACCCTCTGCACACCATTTAGGTGATATATGTCCACCACTGCGGTTGTTCCGAATAGAACTTCACAGCCGTATTCTCTCACTTGCCCGATGGTAAAGATCACCTGTTGGAACCTTGACTAAACATAGGCTAGGGGAAAGGAAAAGGTCAAAAGGTGGATTGGATGGACAAGTAAGTATTGGGAAGAATCCTGAAACATAGGTGGCTTTTAAACCAATACATGGCCCCATGCTCCTGGATGAGTTGGTCAATGGAATGAAGCCCATCTCAACCAGTTCCATTGCAAACATTTCTGATAGGGTCTCAACCCCTATTTCTCTTCGCAAAACTGACTTACACATGGGTATGGGTCAAAATTAAACCACCAGGGGACTGGTTTTAGTCATTGCTTCCATTTGCCAGGGTGCCATCTGGGGAATTCCGATTTTTGACCCACAGCCACATGACCCTCGAGAAATGCCCAAGTGTCTTTTTTTTGGGGGGGGGGGTAGCCTTTTTTTCGCACAAGCCCGCCTGCCAGAGGGTCCACTCGTGCTCGCCACCTGGCCGGGAGATTCGAGCAATTGACATTGCCAATCTGCCATTTGCGTTTTCGCCCCCTGGGAAAAAATGAAAAAATATGTCCAGTAGTGATAGATTCCCTTTAAAAGCCAAAGGGGAAAAGCAAATGGAAGCAATTTTGCAGTTTTAGCTAAGTTTAGGTGCAACAGCCCAGGCCCATATCCGCCAACAGGATGATGAGGGGACCCCAAGGTGGTTGTTGGTTTGGTTTGCCTTTAGGTCAACCCCAAAAGGCTCCCTCAAAAAAGACACCCCAATACACAAAACCCATTTGTCCATGAAGGAATGACTGCAAGCCACCGGGTGAATGGGTCCCACTTTGTGAATTCTCAAGTGTCGGGGTCGAAGAACTCCAAGAGAAAGATAACACTCTTGTCAGCAAGGCACCAGGAAGTGCACGTGGTCCCTTGCAGGAACAAAATGAGGGAATGACCCCTGTAAACAATCCTTACTTTTTTGGGTTTTGAAGGGAACCCAAGATGAGATTCACTCTTTGTTTTTCGACGTGGCGGGGGGGCGCCAAGTAAAAAGCACTCCCGCATGTTTCCACATATTTGCTGACTCATCATGGACAGGAGAACGTTTCCCAAGTTGCCTTCATGGGACCTGACAAGCAACGGAGGTCTCAGGACCGTTGTCCGCTTGGTCTTTCACCTTGGGTGGGCGGCCAACCATACTTTCATGGCCCAGGAAGAGGACACCCCAGTTGACCCCCAGTGAGCCTCCTCAAAGCTTGCTGATGCGATAGGTAGGGAATGTGGGAATGAACCCAGGATTTGGTCCCCTTAAAGGAAACCATGGTCCTTGGACACTCCACGCAGATTCATGGTAGTGAGTTGTCGCTTCGCTAGCAAATGTTTGCATCGCCGCTCGGCAATTCCTCAAATTTACTCAGGGAGGGAGGGTGAGATTTGGCCAACATCCCCAGTGTTCCCAGCCATCGACTTGTAGATTTTTTTACTAGGTCCCCCAGTAGTGCTTACTTTTTTTTGAGGGGGATTCCCGTATTAAAATAGACTACCGGAAAAAAAGAAGAAGCAAAAAACATCGGGCACCACAATCTAACCTCTCTTCTGAGCACCAGCAAGAAAATCCATTGTAGAGCTACTCACCCCACGCCCGCGCCCCGATTGATCCCGACCGCATCTCGCCTCCAAATCGGCGGAGGTAGCTGAAGTCGTGGGCGATGTGGTTGAAGTATCGGGGGTGGAAAAGCACCTGGGTCTGTGTCAAGGGTGGCCTGTTGCGTCGCTGCGTTCAATATCAAAATGCCAAAAGGTCAAATAGGGCATTGCCTTGGGGCACAAAAATAAGTTTGAGCAACAGCCCAAGTGCTGAAACGTCAAAGAAGCCGCGCTTGTTTGTAGCTGGAAACAACCTGGGGCTAAGTTCCCACTCCATGCAGCACCACTGTGCAACTGCTCCGCACAGTGAGTAGTCACGGCCCACCCGCCCATGCCATTTAAGGTGTCCATCACAGAGCCTTGTCTCCAAGTCCGCTGGTGATTTGGTGAGCGGTGTCGTGGCATTCGTTTCACTTTGGCTTGAAGTAGAGCTGCCACCAAGATGGGGCTCTAGAGTTTTCCTCTGGTCTCCTAATGGCAACAACCTAGATAGCCAAGTTGCTGCTTTTGTCAGTCACTGTTGCAGGTTTTCGGGGTAAAGATTTAGAACAAAAAACAGCGACTGGCGATCCAGGAAGGTGCTCCCAAAAACAACCGTCAACGGTTTCTCGGCGGAGGAAAGCCGACTCTCGGCATCCCTGCGTCCGCATCCGCCACTGTGAGCAGCAGAGAGGAAGCGTCATTGCCCGCCTGGCACCAGGGCGTCCATGGAGTGAGCCCCAGGGCGTGAGACCCTCTCGCCCACTGGCAACTCACAGGGACCCGGTCCCTCGAGGAAATGCCTTCCCACAGGTGCCCTGTTAGGAGGTGTACCCAAAATCCAAAAGAAACACAAACAATTACCAGGTCTTATTTAGAAATAGGCCAATGGGTGATTCTGTGTTCAAGTGCTTCAGGAGCCAATGGGATGGCCCTGATTTGTTTCCCTATCCATCATGTTCAAAGCTTTTACTTGGAAGATTAAAATAAGGCCAGACGACCGCACCAATGGCCCACGTCATCTTTGTTTGTCAAAAAACATTCTACCATCCCTCAATATGATTCCTGCTAAGCCAAACAGTCGATGAAGTTGGCCAACACAAGTTTTGGTCGCTCGTGTGTCAGGTGCCATCCAGTACACAGGGGCACCCTTGACATACATGCGCTCTTGTGGAAAACACATGTCTGAATACTGGCAACCCCGGATTAATAAACCCCTGGTTGATTAATGGGGGGGTCCCGTTTTAGTGGGGATTCATCACTTTTGGGGAACACCCCCCTAACAATGGGACGGGTTTATTAATCCTGGGTCCGCATTACCCAATGGCCACAGCTCAGGGAGGTCTTCGGACAGGCTGTCAACGGCCAAAGTTGTTGAAGCACCCAGACCTGGGTAAAGTCAAAAGGAAAAAAAACATTTCAAACTCACAAACCTCGGTGGCCAATTTCCGAAATACCACGGTCCATTTTGAGGGATCTTTGAAGTCGAGATTGCCTTCAAAGAGTCCAGGGAGATTGGTCAGAATCGGCGTGACCTTGAATTTCGGACCGTCCGGTTCTGTTTGTTTGCATTGGGCTCAGCTACGAGAAAAGGGGAAGCAACAGGGCCGTGTCACAGGCGAAACGGACTTTTCCCTGAGCAAAAGATCTATTTTCAAGTTCGATGCAGAATGACACAGTTCGAAACGATGCCAGGGATATCACATGTCCAAAACATCCACGACCAGGCCATCAATTTTGAATAGGAAAGCCTCACAAGTGGGTTGGTGGACATAAATCCCCACTGAATGATGTCCAAAGGGTCCCCGATGAGCATTCATCTCCACCAAGGAAGGCTCCCAGCTACATGAGCTGTTGACGGCAAGCAGCATCAGACCCTTCCTTAAGGTAGCGACCTGTTCTACTGGGCTTTAATTGAACATAGAAGCCTGACACTGTGCAAAGGACTCCAAGAAGATGTGGCTGATTGCTGAGGGGCTGCTACCGCAGTTGCCCAACTGCAAACGTCATGTTTGGGCTCTCGGGGTACCTCTCCCATGCATTTCTTGGCGGGGGATGACTCTGCCGGAGTTTTGTTAGACAGGCGACTGGCCGGCGAAAAACTGACGGCCTTGAGCAAGTCCCCGTACACTTCGCGGACCGCCTCGGATGCCGCGATTCGAAGAAGGACCGACCCCCCTGCGGCTGGCCATCTAAACACAATTTTCAGGCATGGGCTATGAGGTGTGGGCCTGACTTAGACCCCCCTGCAACAGGCCAAAACGAAAACAAAAGAGGCAAGCAGTGAAATCTGCAAGCTAAGCCTGGTAAAGTATGAAGACTAAACCACAAGCAATGCGAGTAGAAAGCTCCATACGTCCAAAACCCATCCGCATGATGGAAAAACATGCATGAAAACATGGCTGAATCTCATATATCAAGCGGTCAACAAGCTACAGTTTGCCGTGTTGGGAGACTACGGGTCCTGTTATCTCGTCTGATTCGGGTTCAGAGAGGCAAGCGCATGCAAGCCTGGAGTCATAGGGTGTTGGGGTGAATAACACTTTGCTGGCAAGGGGTTCCAATTTTCAGGCTACCCTGAATTGGTCTAGGTCCTGCAGTAGAGAGGTTAGAATAAGGGTACCCTTTTTTCTGTAGTCTATTTTAGTAGGGAAACCCTCCAACCAAAAAAGGGGTGAGAAAGGGCACCTAGCTGGGGGACCTAGTGGTAGTTTGGATTCGTTTGGGGCTTTGAACTCCTGTTTCTTGCCAAGGCTCCATAAGCCCCCGGGTGTCCCATGGCCTAACCGCACCTTTTAAGGCCACTGGGCTGCACACAAAGCAACAAATTGAGGGAAGCTGAATCTTGGGAAGTTCTGAACCCTTATAATCCCTTTTCCAAGGGTACCATCCCCAGCTCAGCATCACCTTGAAGAACTCGTGTATCCCCAAACAAGCAAAAAACCAAATGATCCTGAGCCAAAAAGCGAACCCACTATGAGCCTTGCCCTCTGTTTTTTTTGGGGGGGTGAGGTGAGGGGGGCAGGTGGCAGGTGGCAGGTGGCCAGGAGGTGCCCCGAGTCCCGCTGCCCCGCTGCCCCGCTGCCCCGCTGCCCCGAGTCGAGGGCCCACTTCAGGTTGGAGGCCTTCCCCGGGATCTCCGGGTCCCACGAGCCTCGACGCTCGAGCGACGCGCAGGGCGTGGGGGGCGTGGGGCGTGGGGGTTGGGGCTGGGGGTTCGGGGCTGGGGTTTCAGGGTTTTGGGGGGAGGGGTGGTGGAGACTGGAGGTGTTCTTGGTGTTCTTTGCTGTCCTGGGAATGGGTTTGGTGTTTCTTCTCCCGGGTGGCTTGCAAACTTGACTCGTGGCCTCTTTTTGCACAGGGGGGGGGGCTCCCCCAAGTTGTTTGTAGTGGATGCTCCATGTTCATGTGCCGGTTTTGTTGGGTAACCAAGCTAGACACATTACCCTCGGTTGCCTTTTGGTTGCTTGAACAAAACATCCCAAAGGAGGTCCCCTCGCCCCCTCCAGGAAGACCACCCCCAAGGGTACTATAGCTATAGCTGACACGTCCATGAGACAAACCCATGTTGGATTGGGTTGGACAACCTAACCATGGCTTTGGACGAAAAACCATGTCTGTGCTATGAGTTTCTCTTTTCTGAGGATACTCTTGTTGGGTTGGTTTAAACGAAAACCAAAAGGAAAACCACCTTTTCAGGGGCTCTCCTAAAAGCAGACACACCCATAGCCATACCTGACCACTTCGTGACTTCAAAAAGGAGGCAACCATGTTTTGGGCATTCCGACTGAAAACCAACACGGGAAATAAGCACAGCTGTCTAAACCAAGGGTTAACAGTTGCTCAGTTGCCCAAAGGAGCTGGAACTAAAAGGTTAACCTTTTGGGGCCATGACTCTGACTGAATATGGACCAAAATGGAAAAACCAAAAGGTCAAAAGGTCGGCTTCGAACAACTGAGGTTGATTAAAAGGGGTTGGTTGCCGCAGGGGAACCCTCCCATCATCTTAGTCCGGGGGTGAGCTGACGATCCAAGAAAGCTCCAACTCCCCTCACACGCGCCCTGGATGAACGTGAAGCGTGCGGTTGCAAAGAAACATGGCAAACATTGGTGGACCTAAACCCTCATGTCCCCCCAAACTAAGAATCTTCTCAGTCGCTAATCTTAGAGGGTTCCAGATTAGAGTCCGATTGGGCCTGAGGCCCCCTGTGGCCATGTTTCAACTCAAGGGAACCATCTGCAAGCTCTACAAATTGTCCAAAACCTAGTCATGGTCAGCTGGCCGTGTCAAAAACGGGTATCCATTTTGGAACCCTAGTAAATGGAACCAAGGACTAAAACCTGCGGTCCCCTGGTGCTTTAATATTGACCCATACCCAGCTGGTTTTGGGGCAAGTGAATTCGGATCAACGTGGGCCACATGAGTCCAAGGCCCTTCCGCCCCCGGCCATCTTGGGCGCGCCCGCCATCTTTGTGCTCTTGAACCAGATCCTCCGGGTGGTGCGTGCTTCTCAGCCTCAGTTGCAAAACTTGCGCAAGTGCGATTGGCACGGAATAAGAAATGGAAAGAAACCGAAACCCCCATAAACCATCCATCCTATGGCTTCCTTTTTTCGTGAATCCCAAACGGTTCATTCCATTTCTCATTCCCTACCTATCGCAGCGAGCGCAAGAAAACGGCCACACGCATCATGACCTCTCTGACTAGGAAGACCTGCTTGCCCATCCCCCCCGCCCCCCCAAACGCTTAGCTGATGGCGAGGCAAAGTGTTGGCTGAAGCTCTTGGTCAGCTGAGCCGCCTCGAAAACTCAGCTGGTCACCCCATCTACCAGGGTGAACCGGGAGTCAACTCGGGAGGGGCCAACTGGGGGTCAAAATCTAGGGGTCGACTGAATCTCACCTTGGGTTTCCTTGTTTTGTTATCCATAGAAAGGGATTCCGTGGAAAGTGCACAAGGAGTGTGGAAAGAATGCATCTAACTGCCCCTACCAAACTCAGTAGCCCAACTCTAGGCTGCACAAAGCTGCAGGACAATATGCGGGGTCTACGCCAGGATTTGCTTACAATAAACCCTTGCCCGACTTGTTGTGTTGTTTTCAGGTCAGGATCCCTTGGGCTCCAAAGCCATCCACAGTTTTAAGACCAAACTGAAGTGATTTCCGTCACCTCAAGCCCTCGCAGAAGTCCCGGCCTTCTCCCTAGCTGCCACGCCCTCCCGAGCCTGCCATAAGGCTCAGTCAAATATGGGGGGAGGCGCGGCAATGGCCGGGGATGTGGCCCTGAGAGATGCATTCCGAACTGGGAAACGAAACGAAACGTGACCAATCTCACCCTTTACACCTATCTCAAGAGCCCTGTTTCTCCTAGTTCTTCGTATCCGGCATCCAAACATCCCAAAAAGGAGACTCCCATATTTTTTGCCTTTTGAGCGGGCATTCTGAACACAAAAATCCTCCTTTCTAGCAGTCACATGTGTGGGTGTGCCCGACTCCCACTTCTTCCGGTTGATCGCCACACAGTTGATGAAATTGCTGGAAGCCGCAGTTGGATTTGGCCTCCAAACCGCGTTCAAAGCAGTTCGACTTGCTTGTTCAGCAACAGGAGAATCACCATTTCCCCCTTCCCCCCTTTTCCCCCCTCCCCCGACCTAGCACTTGGCCAAATAAACTCGGAGCCACTATAGCCAAACAGCTTGGAACGCCATTTTTCAGTGTCCTACGTTGGTTCTCCTCTGTCTTGTTGGCAGGGAAGAAGCCCCTGGCAGGCCAGTTTTCGATCCACGCTGTGGATGGCAGAATCCTGCACCACTTGGAATCCATGGGAAACCATGGTTTATTGGTATTTACAGGGGAATCATCCTTCCAGGGTTTCTTAGGTGGTGCAGGAGTTCGTCCATCCACAGCAGGACAACCCACAAGTCTGGCAATGAGTCGACGTTGAAACTCCTACAGATACCTAAGGCTGTCTGTGCGCGTGCATGGGAATGCACCTGGGATGCTTTGCCCATGGCCAAATGTCCAAAAAACAGGGAAGTCTTTTCCAAAGGCTGCAACCCCATTGTGCAACCGACACCTCCAAATGCACAAACATCACCTTGGAGTGGTGTACAGAGAAATCCCGTTTGATGGTTTGTATTGATATGATGATATTGGACCATTGTCCCTTGTCAGGTGAGAATCAAAAGGCGGCGGAGTTGACACTACCCTGTCGGTGTGTCTCAAGACTGGCCCGAAAAATAGCACCCCCTCCAACAAAGACACCCGTGAGAGGCTCCAAAGGAGAGTGCGAAAGAAACAAAAACAACTTGCTCCAAGACAAACGGATCTCCCTTGAAACACATCCCTTCAACACCACCCTCAAAAAAACTAAACAATACATGGCCGTGGCTCAAAAATCCGGTACCCAAAATGGAATCCTGGTAAGAGGAAACATGGACCAACACCTGCGGTTTGCCCCCCCCTGTCTAATCTTGAGCCACACCCACATCCACAAATCACCAGCTTCGCCTGGGCCGGTCCTTTCTTCATTTAAAAGTGCCAGCGGCGGCCATGCTCCCCGTCCTTCAACTCATGTAGCTGACAAGCGTCGTCAAAGGGTCTGGAGATGCCTGGAAGACGAAGCCTTTCCATCAAATCTCGGTGGGCGGCTAGCATGGGCTTGGCATCAGCGCACTTGACCGACGCAATTCGTCGCAGGGCAAAATGGTCATGGGCTGGGTCACCAGTGATCCTGTAGCGGGCCACGTGGCGCCGTTCTGTGCTTGACCAGCGAAGCCAGGTCATTGGCGATCCGTTTGGCACCAAACCCCTATGGGGACCCTGAACATGGCACGAATTTACAAGGGGTAGCTCGAAAAAACCTGATGGCCTCAAAATAAATCGGTGGTTACACGTACACTTAGACTCTGGTCCCCCAACAAAAACGTGGGGAATATGCGTGAGGCCGCTGGTTTTCGCGGGGAATGGATGAATGAGTCCTCCGTGTCTCGACTGTTTTTTTGTTTCTTTTTTAAGGGTACCTCGTTTCGTTGGGTTGAAGGGAACCCAAGAGGAAACCACTCATTTGCGTAGGCTCTCTTGAACACAACACACCCACGCGCATATTAATCGTAGATCATCATGCACTACTTCCATTTGCTTAAGCCCCCTGGAAAAAAAAAAAAAAAAAAAAAAAAAACAACATCCAATAGTGAAATCGATTCCCTTTAAGTCCAAACAGGAAAAACACAAATATTCACTTCAGCAGATGGAAGCTCAGATGCCCAGTGGCCATGGAAAAAAATCGGCATCCTTTTTGGGTTGGTTTAGTTCAAAGGAATCGGAACCCTTCCCTAAAAAAGGGACGAAAAAAGGAAGCAACATCCACTGGGCAACCGGGGAAGAGAAACACAAATCCAATAGTGAATCGATTCGCTTTAAGTCCAAACAGGGCAAACACAAATATTCACTTCAGCAAATGCCCAAATGCCCAGTGGGACAAAAAAGAATCGGCATCCTTTTTGTGTTGGCTTAGTTTAAAGGAATCGGAACCCTTCCCCAAAACAAGGACGAAAAAAGAAAGCAACATCCACTGGGCAACCGGGGAAGAGAAAAAAAAATCCAATAGTGAGATCGATTCCCTGAAACAAAACAAAACGGGGAAAGCACGTATTCCTCCATTGGCTTAAGTCCCCTGCTGGGGAAAAAACACACACACGCGCAAAAATATCGAGTAGCGATAGATTCCCTTTAAACCAACAGGGGGAACAAATAAAATATATTCTTAACCACATGGAAGTATTAATTTTCAGCTAATGGAAGACTCCTGCTCCATGACTCTCTTTGACCAGGCGACTCGGTCACGACGAGGTACCATGGCCTCCATGGCCAGCACCACGTGGAAGCCCTGGCACCCGTGCGCCTGGCGCTTCGGCGCTTCCCATGGGTTCGGTTGGCTGAGCCCTTGGCTTCAAAATGCGACGAGTTTCCGTTGTTGCGATAAACGAGGCAAACGTTCCCAGAAAAAAAGGTTGATTCGCTGTTTTGTTTTTTTTTCCTGCAAGAAGATTGTTACTGATTTGTCTTTTCCTGCAAGAAGCTTCAATTGGACCATTCATGTTCAGACCCTGTGTTCTCCAACAAGAAGCGCTCACGACCTCAAAGTGAAGCGTTCCCCCCCCCCCCCCCGCGTGTTTTCCCCCCAAAAGAGGGTGCCAAAAGCTCAGACTTTCGCCTGCGCCAGGGAGGTAAGGGTCTGCGCCAGCATCTCCAAGTCCTGACAGGGAAAGCACAAATCTAGGGGTTGATTCCGTTTCCATTCTTTTCAGCCCATCGTTCCTTTCCAAAACCGATCGCCGTTTTTGCTGGGTTTCTGGAGGTTTGCTAGAAAGAAAAAATCCCTGGAAAGAATGGGGAAGGCACAAGTAGAAATCTGGGTTGTTGAAAGGGAACCCGATGTTTTGTGGAGTCCCCTCAAGCAAATGGACGCCCAAGAAGCAGTACCCTGGCTGGATATCATTAGGGGTCATACGTCTCAAACATTGCTCCCATTAACTCAAGGGAAAAAACACCCTAAAACATGGCCACGGAACTGCAGAGTGCGATCCTCCCAAAGTGGAACATACCGCGGCGAGACTTGGCCCCCCTGCAACAAGTCTTGTTGCCAGTTGAAAGCGGATGATATTTTTTCCTGCAAAGGACCAGTGAGATATAAGATGATCCTTTTGGGGCCTCGCATGGACCAAACAAATCCTGAAAGGTCCAAAGGTGGATGGGCATAGATTTTGCTGAGGCTTCCCCCTCTCCCATTTCCTGATGGCATCTTGACAAGTTTGCCCAGTGTCATAAATAACGATCGTTGCTCAACCTAAACCTGGTAAGGTTGACCCCAAACCTAGGCTCTTTTATTAACAAACAAAACACACAAAAGAACCTGTTCTCCATGGCAGAGTCTCTGCCAGCACCTTTGCGCCCCTAAAAAACGCCAACGCCCGGTGCAAAGCAGGTTTTCTCTGGTCTCGAAATCGCGCGGAGGGCGCTTGTCGGAGGCGGGTTCCTTCTGCTTGCTTTGAAGCGAAGAGGTCGAAGCGTAGAGGTTGCTTGGGTCTTAGGTTCGGAGATTCCTCCATCTTACCCACCCCGAAAATGGTGGTTGGCTTTTGGCCTGGTGGACAAAATATGTTCCGAAGAAGCCCTGAATGCAGGGCCTCCTTTGCTACAAATGGCTGGATAAAGAGGGAGCTCCAACATTGGACGGGGGGCACGCCACACATGAATCCATGCATAACCCGCAATGTTGGCTGCCTGGCTATCTTCCACAGACGAGCCCCCACCTAGCTGGTCGTCACCTGTTCACTATCGAAAACTGCTTATTACTTGCCCCATGACCGCAGGGTCTTCCGACAAGCCCTATCAATCACCCCCAGTTTATTAATAGGGGGATGTTCCCCTCCAAAAAGTGAACAATCCCCACTAAAACCAGGGACACCATATTATAAATAAACAGGGGTGTTTATTAATAGGGATCCTTACATTATACACCTGAACATTGCCTTGTAAATGGTGGTTTCCCTTTATTTTTGTGGAAAAAGCCATGTTTCAAGCGGGCAAAATGTATCGTTTAAGGAGCCCTGATTAATAGGGGGTGTTCATTACCTGGACAAGTCGGTCGACTCAGAGCCTCCCCAGAGACTGTGACAGCTCTGCCCTCAGCGATGGCCGGCGCTCGTCTCGGGTCAAGTTCTCCGCGAAGGAGCGCGGGGGGCTGTCCAGCGAGAGCCCGGCAGTGACCTGAAAAATGGCCACGGGCTTTTCAAAAGCCAAATCGTGGCCCCAGTGAACATCCCAATCCAACCACTAAAATAGACTAAAATGGGTGGTCCCCAAAATGAGTGAGTCAAATCCTTGGTTGCTGTAACGACCCCTCTGCAAAAAGTTGTCAACTTGTTGTGGGTTTAGTAGAAAATCCAAATTGATTTCAACCAACAAGTTAAAGTCTAAAGAACCAACCTGCTTCAAGAATGAAGAAGGCGGCCGGATTGTCCCCTTTCATCTACCCAGATTTGATTGTGGCTCCAGTGAACATCCAAATCCCCACTAAAATAGGTTCTAAAATGGGTGGTGCACCGAAGACCCCAAAATGGTACCATCGATTTTGACCCACAGCCAAATCCCAATCCGCTAACAACAAGGTTCAGGGCCACTTTTGGACTACTCCCACAATGACTTCCACCCAGGGGTGGTCATGTATCTCAAAAAGGGAACCCCGGGGTTTGCAGGTAGTCAAAAAATGGAACCCTGACGAGGTTTGGTCTTAAAATGTTTCAACCAAACAATAACGCCTCATTGGTTGATGCGTCTGCTGACCTGCTAATTTCCCTGACAAGCGGGTACAATCATGATTGCTTGGAAGGCTTACATCTATCATCTGCTCGGAGAAAAAAAAACCATGAGTCTAAGCATAGATCCACCATGAGTGGCTGATTGTCAGTTGGTTGGCTAAGTATCTCTTCTGTGTTTAACTCTCTTTACATTCACCGTGGCCCCAGCATCCGATCCCTTGACTTTTTTGAGTCGGCATGCTCTCAAAGACTAAGGTCTCAGGCGGCTGGGAAGGTTGCATTGAACAAACCTTTTCACTGTTTATCACTATTTGATTGCCCGTGTTTACCTCTCTTGCCCAAAGGACCAGAACATGAAAGGTTGACCTTTTGGGACCTCTACTAAACATGGACCCAAAAGGGAAACCCAAAATGGAGACTCAAAAGGGAAACCCAAAAGGTCAAAAGATCAGCTTTGAACAACTGACTTAGGTAAATTGTGCATTGTGTGTTTGCTTAACCCACTATTTGATCACCAGTTTGTGTGTGTGTGCGTGTGTGTGCGGGGGGAGTACGTTTTTGCTAACCATGTTATTGTGTTACACGAGGGCGTTGATGCTGTACGTGTCAACGGTGTCACGCCATTCTTCAGGATCGCCTCTGTGGGGTTGGAGCAAAGGGGAACCAACAACGAAACTACCCGCATCCTTTGTTTAGAGACATCGCCATATATATATATATATATACACACATATACACCGTACACCACGTAAAATATGTATATGACGTGGCTTGGTAAACGCACGAAGTGTGTGTGTGTGTGTGTGTGCCATGTGCGAACATTCCATCGACCCCGAGTTTGGTGGGTTCCTTGTTGGCCTCCAGAAATCAAGCAACAGTGGACAACACCTCAAAATAAAAATATTCAAACAGGATTGCCAGTAAGCAGAGAAAACGAAGCCGAACCGCGACAGGGGGATCGGAGAAAGCAACACCAATGAGGAAGACCATTTTTTCAATATATATATATATATATATCCGCATGCTGGTTTTCCGGGCTTTTTGCACCCAAAAGAACCACGAGACTACCCACCCCACCCCACCCCACCCCACCCCACCCCACCCCACCCCACCCCACCCCACCCCACCCCACCCCACCCCACCCCACCCCACCCCACCCCACCACCCCACCCCACCCCACCCCACCCCACCCCCCCCCCCCCACCCAGCCCCCCCCACCCCCCCACCCCACCCCACCCCACCCCACCCCCCACCCCACAAACTCTTTGCAACCAGCAGGCCAGGAAAGGCGACTGCGCCGCCAAGATGTCCTCCAAGCCCCGGGGAGGCTGCCTGCGATGCGAGGGACCCTGAGCTAAAGCTTTGGGGTCCCAGCCCAGATCGGTTTCGGGGTCCGGGGCGGCCCTAAGGTAAGGTTTTTACCAGAGGTCCATAAGGGTTCCACCTGGGTTCCATTAGGGTTCCACCAGGGGTTCTGCGAGGGCTGCGGGACTGCATGCTGTTGGGGATATCACCTGAGCTTATTCTGTAGTCTATTCCAGTAGGGGAACCCTCCCCCCAAAAAGGGTACAAGGGCACTACTGGGGGACCTAGTGTAACAATGCGTCTGCCCCACAAAGAAAGCAAATGCAAAAACATTGCCTTCTCAAAAACGCGCGCAAAGAAACGCCACACCAACTCGGAACAAACGAGAAGGTAAAAATGGTTGGACAAAGAAATAACTCGATCAGGAAGGGATCAAAGCTCCATGATTTGCGCTTGTCTGCAGAAGCGCAGCAAAGGCAATGCTTCAACCACTGTCACCACCTGAGTCATAATTACAATCCAGTATTAAAATGGTCTACCCAGAACCATGGTAAAGAAAGAAGGCCGATATCCGCAGCTATTCATGGCAAGGGGATGGTCCCCTTCTGACCTTCATCTACCCTTTTGATTGTGGCTCGGGTCTCAACCCCCTGCCTGCGGAAGGACAAGCAGCGATGTCCTCGGCCGCGGCTCGCGTTCCAACTTTTGCCCCAAAGGCAAGGACATTTTCCCGAAACCTGGCCTAGGTCCTCCAGATTTGAGAGGTCAGAATCAGTTGGTACCCGAGTTGCTTTCCTTTTTTTGTCTGTTTTTTAGTAGAGGAACCCTCCCCCCAGAAAGGGAAAAGGGCACTACCGGGGGACCTGGTGGTGGATTTCCTGCGATGGTGCAAGCCCAAAGCAAAGGAACACGGAAAATGAGCATTGCGGGTGACTCTGGTCTTGAAGAAAGACGTGTCCGTGTCACAGTGATTTGGGATGTCTTAAACTAAGGACCTTCCAGTGTCGCGTTCAAGCAATCCAAAAAGGGTACTCTCAAGTACCCAGGTGGGGCTATCTTCAAATCTTCCAAAATGGGTGGTGTCTGTATCCAAAACGGGTACTCTCAAGTGCCCATGTGGGGCTATCTTCAAATCTTCCAAAATGGGTGGTGTCTGCTGGGTGTCCCTTTCAAGCAATCCAAAGCGGGTACTCTCAATAAAATAGCTCTAAACTGGCTGCCTTATTTTCCCCTTTCAGCACCTGCCGGCCAAAAATCACGGCTTCCTTTCCGAGGCAAGTCGAGGGCTCGCTCTCATGGAAGAACCTCCTTTTAACAGGGCCTGCCTTCAGGTTGTCTTACTTGTTTGCGTTTTGCGACCGTGCTGGCTTGCTTGCTTGTTTGCGTGCTTCTGCGACCCTGCCTGCTGGCTTGCTTGCTTGCTTGCCTGCCTGCCTGCTTGCTTGTTGTTCGCCGTGCCGTACACTCACCATGCCGTGTTTGTTACAGGGTTTCAGTACCAGTCATGCTGATGCAAAGGCAACATGTGAGAGCAATCGCCCCAAACCCCGAACAAGGGCTAAGCCATGCCAACACTCCAACACAGCCCCAACATCCAAACACCCACCCCAATATCCAAGCACCCCATCCA